ACAGAGCTGGTGTTCAGAAAGCTTCGGTGCGAAGACATAGTCCACATACATGTTCTGGAGCAGAGATACTTTGCGGACAGCTTCAAGCTAGCACACTCTTTCACTAACTTTATCTATGATTCTAGATTTTCGTTTGTGTGCGAGCGGAAAGGCAGGATAGTGGGAGCTATAAGAGCTGAGAAGTGGAAGAGCAAGGCAGCTATAGACGCCCTCTGTGTTGAGCAGATGTTTTCTAACCGGGGGATTGGGAGAAGGCTGCTGGAGCAGTGCATAGAAAGCATCAAAGAGCATGAACGATCCGTCAACATTACACTCATGGTAAGCGAAAATAACAAAATCGCAAAGAGGCTGTACGAAGACGTAGGCTTTGAGGTGCAAAAGTTTGAGCATGGCGCATACTTCGATGGGAGCGGGGGATTTGTGATGGTTTGGAAGGGATGGCCGGCCAAGAACAGCACTGCTAATTTCAGGTAGGATGGGCAGTTTATGCCAACTCAGTGAAACTTGTACAGAATCCTATCATTCCGGAAAATGTAGCGCCCATCGCCAAAAACCTTGTAGAACATACCGTCTCTGACCAGTGTTCCATTCTCCATGGACACCTCATACTCTCCGGGCACCCTCGCATTCAGTGCCAGGCACTTGACCCCATGCCTGTAAAACTCCTGGTGCTCAACAGGCACCTCAACATCGTACAGACAGCTTCGGACGCATCTTACATCCATGCCGTTAAAGCCCTCAAACTCATCGTACACCAGCAGCCCATTTCTTTCGCACGACACAACTTTGTAGTAGTTTACAACCATGTATCTCGAGCTGCTCGCATCCTCGTCGACAGCAGCTTTGGCACACTGATTCGGTGTGGCCATCGCCTGCGAAGCTGTTGTCAGGCTAGGCACAACAAAACATGGTGTGCGGAGCAGGAAGTAGGATGTATTCCGTTTTATCTCCAGGAAATCAAAGTCATTAACATCAGTTCTGACCTGCTCCCCTTCAAACACCCTTTTCATAAACAAACAGAATCTAGGAGAAAATAAGGCACCGCCGATGCATGGTTTTTGGACACTTTCGCCAGAAAACATCCAGCTCATGCCACGCCGCAAAGTAGTTCCTGCCTGTTGGCAGTGCTTTAAAAAAATAAACGAAGATGCTACTTTATTGCTCGCTGCTCTTTTCTATTTTCTTGTATGCCCTGCTCTTTTTTAGATTGATATCATTCAGGTCCTGTCGATCAATATGAAGCTTGCCAACCGTGTCCCTGAATACATTCTTGGACACGTTCCTCTGTTTTGCGGGCTGGCTGCATGCGAACGCCTTCTCGTACAGCTCGTCTCCGCAGTAGAACTCCTTTTCCAGGACCAGCTCAAAGTGCGGCCCAATGTCTTCCACGCTCAGATCATTCAGTACCCTGACATACTTCAAGGTAAAAGTCCTTTCGCTCTGGTGGCTGGTCTGGCCAATGATCCATGCATACCTAACGCTGTCAATATTGACTTTCGTGCTGTGCTGGCTGAAAAAGTCCACCAGGAAGTTCTCGATTCTCTTGTTTTCAATCTGCTGGCAGATGACAAAGTACTTGGAGTACAGCTCTGCTGGCACCGAGCCGAAGTCTGCGCTGGAGAAGCTCTTAGAGATCCTAAACTTGAGAATTTCCAGCGGCTGGTAGTCGTACACTCTCACGAAGACCAAGTGCTCCTTAGTACTTGCCACCGACAATGCACACTTCTTCTTTTTCATCAGCTTGCATGTCTTTTCATAGTCCGCGAAGCAGTCTATGTCTTCCTCCAGTGCCAAGAAGTCGCCTCTTATTGTCAGCAGCTCCCTCAACGGCTTTGGCATGGTCTTCGATAGACACAGAACATTCTTTCTTGCTTTTGGATTTTTTGGTCTCATCGTGGCGTCCAAAAATTTCAATTTAAAATTACGTGGGAAAGACAGCAGGAATATTAAACTGGAAGATGAGCGGGAATAAGCCACAGTATATGTCCTGGCTACTGCACTGCTGTCTACGTCTTTTTGATATTTTTCGCAAAAATTTGCCGTCCCTATGATTCAAAGCTTTGGCCACATCAATCCTGTCCCGCAGTGCAAAGAACTAATAGACTTGACGCTCAGCAAAACCAACAGAAAGACACCCACGGTCATCCATCCTGGGTATGAAATCCCGAGAATTAGGAATTTCTACATTAGAAAAGTCAAGCACTCGGCCGAGGAATTTAAGAGCAAGCTGGAAGAAATAGTCAGCCAGTTTCCAGTCCTCGAGGACATCCATCCATTTTACTCTGACCTGCTTTCAGTGCTGTACAGCAGGGACCACTACAAGATCGCTCTGGGGCCAAGTCAACGCTACAAAATCAAAAGTTGAGAAGATTATGTCGGAGCATGCAAAGCTGTTGAAGTTTGGAGACAGCCTGTACCGATGCAAGCAGCTCAAGCGCGCAGCCCTGGGGAAGATGGCAAGTGTTGTAAGGAAGCTTGCAGACCCACTGAGGTTCCTGGAGGAAGTGCGACAGCACCTGTCAAGGCTTCCGTCGATAGACACGTCCTCGAGGTCGATCATTGTCTGCGGATATCCAAATGTCGGAAAGAGCTCATTTATGAATAGGGTGTCCAGGGCGCATGTTGATGTCCAGCCATATGCGTTTACAACAAAGAGCCTGTATGTTGGGCATTTTGAGTATGAGGACCTGAGGTGGCAGATTATTGACACGCCGGGAATTCTGGATCATCCACTAAGCGAAAGGAACACCATTGAAATGCTGAC